AGCGTCAGGAGTTTGTCACCAGATGGTGTTTTTTGGACCACTTTGAGGGCCTAGATGAGGGTGATGGCACAGGCTAGAGGGCGGCAGACAAAAATTTTCCGTTTCAGTGCATGCAAGGCTATCGATTTAGGGGGTCAAAACATGTATCCCGAGTTTGTCACTCAAAGTCGTCTGGCTCTCGGACTATCTTGTAACAATATCAATTTTAATTATTATAACAAGTCAATAAGATTAATTTCTCTTTACGGAACTTGATTCTTGAACATACTTGTGAGTAATCAAGGAGAATTCGAGATTTATATAGAATTAATACTCTCGGTTTTTTAATAACCCTTCAGAATTAGAGTATCTAATTGATTAGAATCGAAATTACCACATAACCAAACAATATCTGTTGGAAATCAAAGATCACGCATGAAAATGGAGGAAAAGTCTTTGTAAAAAACTTAATTATTGATAATTTGTTGTCACACTCACAGAGTTTAAAAGTAATGAAACTCCCATTACAAAGCTAATTAGCAGACAATATCCAAGAGGGTGCACGTGCGAAACAAAAGATGCGCGACGGACTCGCCGCAATTAAATAATTACAAAATGTTCAGAGAGAATTATGAAGGGGTTGCCAGAATTTTGGGTCGTCACAGAGAATATGATGAACACAGCGACCACATGCGGTATTGTGAGAATTGATCCTCTCTTAACGGGTTTGAGTCTTATGCAAAATTTTGCCTGAGCCAAAAGAAAAGTTTTTACTCGCGGATAATAGCTAAAAAACCATGAGTATCGCACTGAAAAGGTCTGATACGAACTCCTAACTTCACAACCTCGTGATGAATCACACCGGTGTCACAAACTTGCACCAAACTGCATGAAAATAGTCGCGGTCGCAGCTATATGATTGGTAGTTCCTTACTCTGGCGAAAAACAATTAAAAATAGTACCTCTAACCTAAAACCGACTTTTAAAAGCAAGAAAGAGTAAATGTTGGATGCATTATATTCTATCGCATGCTTTTTTTTTTTTTTTTTTTAAATGAAAGAACTGTGACTTACAATAGTTTATTCTGAGTTTTAGATGAGGTCGTGAAACTGGGGTTCATCCGTATCAAATTATGTGTCAGGGGTAAAATGATAGCTCGCAGTTAGCTCAAGTGCTGAGATCAACTTTGAATGAAATCCCACGTTAAATTTTACGTGAAATTTTAATGAATTCTCAAAACGGTTCATCAATTCCGTGAAAAAACAGCCTTAAATTTCATTTCGTCGTATCGCCCACGAGAGAACGAAACGATATTTCCCAAATGGGCCAGTTGCGCTGGTAACAGAATTGTGTTTTGATGCTTGATTCTTATAAAAATAAGAAGCTCTTCTGCTAAAAATAAGAAGATCCTTAGCCGTGATATCGTCCTTTGAAAAGTCAGGTTTTTGACGTCATCCACCGCGGTAGTGCATAACACGGTATGTACTACCGCGTTGGATGACGTCATAAATCGAGTTTTTTAGGCGCGATATCTCGGTTAATATTCAACGTAGAAAGGTGTTGTTTGGACAGACCTTATCATTTTTAGTTAATCTGCTAGAATAAGGCATCATAACACAATTTTGTGGCCAGAGCAATTGACCCATTTGTACACGGAGAAAAAAACTTTGTGCGTGAGACCCGAAGTTTAGGTCATATGGATCTCTGAAGTTTTCATATTGAGCATCTGAACACTTAAGGTCCAGCTGCTGTGGTTTGAATCACACATCTGAAACTTCAGTTCTTACATCTGAAGTACTTCGGTTTTCACATCCGAAAAACTTCGGTTCTTACTTCCGACAACTTCTGATCTCACATCTGAAGTACTTCAGATGTAAGAACTGAAGTTTCAGATGCGTGATCCAAACCTCGACAGCTAGACCTAGAGTGTTCAGATGCTCAATCTGAAAACTTCAGAGATCCATATCCAACTTTGGGTCCCACGCACGAAGTTTTTTTCTCTGTGTATCCGGAAATTGCATTTTTCCTCTGATCAAGCGAATATGAGGCAAAGTTTGAAAGTTCCCATCCGAGCTATGAGTATCTCTCCTTTCCACTAAGACTCATTGAAAAATGTGCCCCTGGCAGTCAGGGGGAAAAGGGCGATTTTTCCGGGTGTAGCAACCGCGGACAGTGTGGCGAAGACAGTGCTAAGTGTGCTAAGTGCGGTTGCATGTTCGCGCGGCGCGATGCCGCAGCGCAGCGTTCCGTATCAGTTCACACCTCTCGCGCCCGCGGCGGCCGCTGTCACTGGGGGAGCCCTCACTCCCCATCCCCAGTCGCTGGGTGTCATTTCATTTTTGTCGAATGATGATCGTCGCTAATAAATTGATCCGGCCCTTTTTGTCGCCCCGGCTCGAATCGCGATGCCGCGTCGTCGCCGACGTCCCGACGTCGCTCGAGGGTGGAGCGAGAGTGAGAAAATGGTGATGAGACCCCGTGGGATGGATCGTGGAAACGGTTGAGAAGCTCCAGCTACAGTATGCTGTGAATCGCACAGGGTGTGTTCCTTGGTTCCTCGCAAGAAGTCCGTAACCATGACCGAAGTGCGAAACCACGTATCTCCAGTTTGTACTGGAATAAAAAGTCGCTTGGATCTAGAGTCCAGGCTTTTAAAAACATTGACAAGAAAAAATACTCTTGATTCAATCGGACTTTTTGGTTGAATCAAAAGGAAATCTGCCTAAATCAAGAGGTTCGGCTCTTCGATTCAGGGAGTTTCGGATTAAATCAAGAGTAATTCTTCTTGTCAATATTTTTAAGAGTCTGGACTCTACATCCAAGCGACCTTTTTTCCAGTGTGGTGTTTCAAAATTTCCGCTCCTACTTTACGTATTTGAAGAGAATCAAGCGAACTCTATCTCTATTCTGCAAACCAAGAAGAAAAATCAAGGGTGTTTTCAAGAAATTAAGATGACTATTTTTGCGGAGAAAAATTTAAGTACAATAGGGGGTCTGCGACGTCGCGCACTGAGTTACACTGGTTTCGCACTTTGGCCAGCGATGAGCATCACCATATTTGCAGTTGATTCATTTTCTCAAATTGAGTTTGACACTAAAATCTGAGAAAGAACCGACCTTGAACTTGGTTCAGTATATCTAAATTGATTTTACTCTTTTTGAATTTAGACAAGGGAAACCAAGTAATTGAAAATTTTAGAAAAAAAAGTATAATTCTCGGGAAGTTTAACTTTCTTAGTCAGTATAAACAAAAAAGCTTTTGCGGTTAAAATTAACATCCTGGAACTAAGACTACTTTATGAGAAATCGATAAGAGAGTATTTGACGTACAGACCCTTTCTTATCGAAAAAACTTCGGTCTTCTCTACTCAAGTCGATCCATATCCCCTCCTGTATCGATGAGAGTCTTTCGTGAGTTATTGATAAAGTGCCAAAAATTACTATGATGGATATTGTAAATCCTTGTGGTGGAACTTGTATTGAATGTGCTTGTATTTAATCACTGTCAGAAATGCGGACACTCATTGTCTGTGTCAAGTCTCAATAGCCTTTATTTTGGCGGTAAAATATTGATTAGTATCCAAATTGGTCGGAGATATGCATGCAAGAACGAGGGACGATGACTATGCCAGGAAGAGGGCACTCATTGCTGTAGTTTTCTCTCGCGTGATAACGCTACATTAAACTACTAAGCTGAATGGCAATTCTTGTCTCCTCAGTTTCGAGCGAGGTAAAAAGTAGTTTCCGAGAAATGTACTTTTTGTTTCATCACCTCATCCGATCCAATCGGCGCGAATCAGTTTCGCCCGAACTTCTCTAATTTTCTCATCGATTCCGGAACTTTTTCCGGGAGAACCCGTTCAAGTTTCCCTTTAATTGAAGGATACCCCTCAGTTCTCTGAAACATGCAAAGTAAACAGTGCAAATTTAGAGGTAGAATCGCCTGGCGCCAGGCGGCCAAGTATTGCTTCCTTATCCTCATAAGTTCACAGGGAAAGACGTCTTGCCATTTATTTCAGTAGTACGAGAGACCCGGTGGGATATCGAATCTTCATTTCAAGTTCTAATTTGAGTCCCCAGAACGCTGATCTGATACCAATCAATGACTTATGGGCGGACCCCCAGAAAATTTTCGACATTTCAAAACATAACCATCATGCAGTTAAAGTCATTTTCGACATGAATAATAACCAAATATAAGCGTCCATCCCTCTTTTTACCTCCGTCCTCTTTTGTTTCATACCTTTTTCTTCCACCGTTTTTTGGGAGAACGGTAGGAGCGCACGCCCCCCTTTTGAATCCGCCTGTTGTTGCCAAATGTCCTCCGATAAGATTTCTATTTTTGAGGAATGTTATGGATATTTTCCCCTGAAATTTTCAAAAGCTTTATATGAAATCGCGAACAAAGCTATCTAAACATTTAGATGGAATATATTCATAAGGTTAACAGGAAATTCGTGCTTTATCAAAGGAAATTTGGCAACGTTTGAAGGTTCATACGCCGTTTTTCCATAGCACGGAAGCATAGGTCACCTAGAATCCATAGTTTTTATATCGTTTGACGATACGAGTTACTAAACGGCGAGTGTTCGATGATGTTTCAGGCTCGACGACCACTTGATCAGCGAGCACAGCTACCCGGCAGAGCAATACCAGTGCGACTTGTGTCCGCGGAGCTTCTGCTGGCGAGCGTGTTTGACGCGACACCAGATCCTGCTGCACGGCGAGCAGAAGAAATTCAACTGCGAGAACTGCAACAAGGACTTCAGCGACCCGAGCAATCTCCAGCGGCACGTTCGGATCCACCATGCCGGCGCCCGCTCCTTCGCCTGTCAAGAGTGCGGCAAGACCTTCACCACCTCTTCCGGCCTCAAGCAGCATACGCACATCCACTCGAGCATTAAACCTTTCCGATGCGAGGTTTGTTGCAAGGTCGGTAATACCTACCGTTTCTTTCTCTGAAGGGTCTGTTGCACGCAAGAGATACGCCCGTGTGAGATCTTTTTGAGGTAAAATGGCACGGAAGTCACCTTACTGCTGTGTTAAGGAAAAACGCCGTATAAGTCTTCAGTCATTGCCAAATCTCATTTAAATAAATGAAGATTTTACGGGAAAGTTGTGAATTTGTTTCCTCAAAATTGCAGACAATTTTGTTCGTAATTCAATGAAAAATATCTGAAAAGTTCAAGTAAAAATATGCATAACTTTCCTAAAAAAATCATGTATTATCCGGAGAAATTTGGCAACTCTCGAATATTCTTACAGCGTTCCTCCTTAGTATGGCAGTATACTAATATTGGAAAAGTCTGAAATCTACTCTTTTAAGCGCAATTTTCATGGTATGGAACACGTTTTTTCAAATTTCCCGCGCGTCCAGAGGCTGTTTCCAATACCCAGAAATACGTTTCGGCAACGTGCGGCAACTACGGGTAGTTTCCGGTTACCGGAAATTGACAATTCTAAACATAATATTTAGAACGCTGCCTGCAGATTCATAAAATAGAGGAATGGTGTTGTAGGCATGGGAAATTATCAAAGATCACGCTTCGCTTGTAAATCGAAACGAGTCGGTAACAACCGATTTTTACCGGCAACCACCAAGGCAGCCTAAAGTTTGCTCATGTCTTCATTTCCGCTGGCTTGAAAACTGCATCCAGACGCAGGACATTTGAGAAACTGTGTTCAAAAATTCACAAATTGCGCATAAGAAGCGGATTTCAGAATTTTTCAATGTAATCATGTTCTTCTCTCGTTATCTCTTGTCTGCGAGAGACCCGATAAATGAATGAAATTGCACCCAGTAGAAACTAGAGAACCTAAATATTGGAGAATATGGAAACATGGAATTCTCAGGGCTTAAAAGAGCCCGTTAGCAAAAAACCAGAGCCATGTCAAATTTGAATGACCAACAACGTTGGAATATAAAATGCGAAAAACAAGGTCTAATAAGTGGTCCCTAACATTTTTTTGATAAGAGGGAGTTAGGATTTTTCCGAAATACTATGAGTATTTCCCTCTATTTTCATATTTTATCTTCAATTTTTACCTACGATGAAATTGTATTCTTACTCTTTATCCTGTATACAGAAATAATATTTGATCCATCCAAAAATTCTAACATTCACTTTTTGAATCGTTGCAGGCGTATACTCAATTCTCGAATTTATGTCGACACAAACGAATGCATTCAAACTGTCGGACCCAGATCAAGTGCACGAGGTGCAACCAAGCTTTCAGCACTGTGAACTCTCTCTCGAAGCACAAGCGAGCCTGCGACAACTCACCGTTGGAAATCCCACCGGCGTCGGGAATGAACCCCGGCCACAAACCCAGTGCAATGACGTGGATGCCGCTGACCGCGGGTCAGCAGACACCTTCCTTCTTCTACCCGCGACCGCCCACAGCACTTCCATTGTCGTCACTCCGACAGATGGATTTCCCGACAACTTTTCTAACGCCTTACGAGGCTTTCCTTCAAAATTACTCACGCTTGGGCCCCCCAACATTTCTACCCGGCTCGTTTTTGTTTGACAACACCCCTTCGAACCAGCTAAACATTTTAGACGACTCTTCTGACTCGCTGAAACCAAACGGACTAGCTCTGCAAAATTTTGCGAACTGCCGGCCGAAAGAATTGAACGATATGAAGAATTCGAATTCAGACTTGAAACACCATCACTCGAGAGAGAGCGGTTTTCCTTTCATGTTACCGTCGAGCAAAGTGTCTCCCTCTACTGGCGAAGAGGCCGGGTCAAGCCAAAGACCGTCCCCGGCCCGACCTCTGGTCAGTAGATGTAATTCAACTAGTCCAAGAGAATTTCAACCAAAACTCGGTGTAAAACCTCCGATCTTCACCAAAGATGACGATGAAACAGCCGAGGAAAGTGAGCTGGAAGGAGAGAAAAGTAGGAAACCAGGCACCAAGCGAGTACATAGTCTGGTGGAAAGCCACCACATTTGTGATCAACCATTAGACCTATCCGTCAAAAACAGTTTAGACTTATCGTTCAAGAAGACACCCAGGCTCGAAGAGCGGCTGGAAACCAAAGAAAGTGAACTTGATAACAACAAGAGTGCTGATAAAATTAAGAGCGAGGAAGACCCTGCCAGTCCACCAGAGAGGATGGATGTCTCTGTCTGCGACGAAGGGCTTTCGAGAAGCGACGATGAGCCCTCTTGGGAATCTTACAGCTCGAAAAAGCTAAAGGCAGATCCTGAGAAGACAGACGTGAGCGATGATTTGAGAAGCAAGTCGGAACGTCTGTCCGCAAGTGACGAAAGGAGCCCGCGGAAAAGCCCGGACAAGTCTGGTCTGCTTCCACCAATGGCGTGCCCCAAACCAAAGTACCCCATGTCTCTGGAGCCTTTCTACCGGCCTCCGTTCTCCAAGAGCAACTTCCTCCACCCACGATACGACAGCCTCGACTCGATCATCAACCAAGAGCGGTTCCTGTCGCATTTACCATCGCCGTTCGGTCCTGGGGGCCTCGGGCCGAAGCCTTACCTTCTGGGCTCCTACATGAACGGACACGGACAATGGCCTCCACCGGGGAACTTCGGGTCCAGCAAACCTTATCAGGAGATCCTTAACCAAATACCTTCCAACGGTCCTGGAACCAGATCCAAAGACAAGTACGCGTGTAAGTTCTGCGGCAAGATCTTCCCGCGTTCTGCGAATTTGACGCGTCACTTGCGCACACACACCGGGGAGCAGCCGTACAAGTGCAAGTACTGCGAGCGCTCTTTCAGTATCTCGTCGAATCTCCAGCGGCATGTGAGGAATATCCACAACAAGGAGAAGCCCTTCAAGTGTCACCTGTGCGACCGGTGCTTCGGGCAGCAGACGAATCTGGACCGACATCTGAAGAAGCACGAAGAGGATAACGAAAGCTGCGTCGTGGCAGTGGCTGATAGCCCTGGGAGCAGCAATGAGAACGAGCGAGAGGACGCCTGTTTCGATGAGATTCGTACGTTCATGGGTAAAGTTACGGATTTTAGGCCGAACGCTTACGTTAATCCCATACAGACGGATCCTTTTTCGCGAGTGCCTGTCACAACCGAAGAGGAGGAAGAGGAGGCTGAAATCGATGAGGACATCTCCGACGTCGGCTCACCCCCTAACTCCACGGCCCAGGACTCACCCATTTCTCTAATACACCCCTTCAAGTCCGAGTCGCCACCCGCATCTTTAAATTTAAGCCTGCAGACTGATTACAAAAAAGACGGCATCTTGAATAACAACAACACCGATGCGGAGACCATTCAAATCAGTACTTAATACTAATTGATATATTTGTTTTGTTTTTGTTTTGTACAATTTCTCTCTATCATGGGTTTTGTTCTGACTCACTTACGTAGTTACTTGTATTTTTTATTTCTAGCAATTTCCGATGTTATTATAAATATGTACATACGTTAATGTTTTTCTCAAAGGTCATTTCACTCTTATCTTAGACTCTTAATCGGTGACCATCATCATATTTGTGTTTACCATTGTGATCTCGTCAATCCTGAACTTTTCTAAAAAAAAAACAATAATTTTTGATAAGCAATAATTTTTCTTCAAAGTTGGTATGTAATTTCCATGACTGCTGATATGTGAGACAATAATTCACGCTACGTTCAACTGATTGTTTTGAGATATTACTGAGGGCAAAAGACGCTACACTGTAAAAACACAAATAAACCAAATAAAAAAGGCTTGTCATCTGAAAGTTTCCTGTTGAATTTACAAGGTTTGTCGAATCATACCTTCAATCAACCTTCTCATTTCGACAATTCTCCTAGTTTTCCACAATAAATAATACAGTTTTCAATAGAAAATTCAATTCTGATTTTAAAAATTAGTATTTGAAAATAAAAATGGTAAAACTTACGAGATGGAGAGGAAAAAACTATTTTTTTAGTGGAGAATACAGTTTAAGAGTCCAGGTTTCATTTCGACCAGACACGCTTTATTTTAAATTAATTCGCAGTTAATTCGTACACGAGGATGAAAGTGCCGCCCAGAATCTGAGGGCAAGATGATTTCCGACCCGTCAGCTAAAGTAATAATGATGCATAGAATTTCATGTTTCCCGTCAATCCATTATAAAATTTTCGCTTTTTATGTAGCGAGAGCCAAATTCTGCTCTTTACACCTATTCCACTCTGAGAATTCTATTATGCAGCATTATCCTAGCTTATTGATCGATAATCGTTAAAATCGATGGGATTGTCAGTACTGTACGGTGAGCTTTCAATGTTTGAGATTGTAAATTTACAAAACATGAGAATCGAGCGTAACTTCAGGCTGCAGAATGAGATCCTAGAACGAACCGGGGAAAGTAATATCGACGTCAAAATTCTTAAACCACCCATCTCGATTGCGGTGTTTTAAGGTCTTCTCTCTTACTTCATTCATTTCAAAGAGAACGATATAAATAATTCCTTTGGATTATTCCAAACCCCCCCCCCCCTCAAAAAAAAGGAAAACAAGAATAAAAAAATTCCGAACGTTTTTGAAGGGCGGAGTTGAATATTTTTCAACTGATATCATATAATCACGGACAAAATTAAATTGCTGATTTAACAATTAAGTTGCTAAAAAAAAGTGACTGCAATATTCCAACGTAGATTTCACAACACAAAAATGCTACTTTAACCACTATTGTAAGCTAATTTAACCACGGGGGTGGTTAAAGTAGTATTTTTGTGTTGCGAAATCTACGTTGAAATATTGCAGTCACTTTTTTTTAGCAATTTAATTGTTAAATCAGCAATTTAATTTTTTCCGTGAAGTATATGAGAGGATGCCTTCAACGCCGCAAACTCGAATATGGGGCTCACGAGTGTAGATTTGTACATTTGGACCGCATTTGGCAGGAAGAAACCAAGCCACATCAGCTATGCCTAAATTCAACTGGGCATTTTAATTTTGTACTAATGAATTTCTGTGCGGATTTCTTTGAAAATTTCATGGAAATTCACTGAAATGTGCACAAAACTTCGTCCATCTGTTTTCATGTAAAACATTTAATTTTCGAATTTAATTTGGTAATAACTGACGTGGCTTGGTTCCTCTCTGCTGAATAAGGTCCATTCAGGCACCTCAGTGCGAAAGAGGAATCGCACAGCTAGGCATTATTCGGGCTAGCAATACTTTCTAAGGCAAATAGTTGAGTCAATAGACGAAAAATTTTCAGTCTAGGAGTTTCATTGAGAGGTGAAAAATTTCGGAAATTTGAGATTTTAACGTAATACTACTCTTCATTAACTTGCTAAAGAAATAAGTGTCGCAAGAAGTTTAATTTATTTTTTAACCAATAATAAACGTTATGTTATATTAATCCGACAATATCGTGCAAAATAGATCAGTGATCTATTCTGGAAATTGCGTTTTAAGTAAAGTGAACTTCAAGCAGCCTTTGTAACTTCGCACAATTGGACGTTTTGGGTATTTTTTGTACCAGAATGTTTGTGTAATACTTGTCCATGGTCTGGTATAAAAAAACCGATCCGGGAGGTTTTGTGGGCAAAAGCGTTCATTCTTCTCGTGGATGGCCGTCTTTTATGTAGGATCATGCCAACAAACACGAATTATAGTAATAATAATAATTGTCTGATTTTCAGATATTTTTTTCATTTCTAAGCTACGTAAGCGTTGCTATAAATTTTAATTTAAATGAAAGGAGATCACATTCTTCCTCTACTTTGTTGGCAAGTTCTTCATGAAGGACGCCTCCGTGAGAAATCATTCTGAAAATGAAGCCCCACTTACTCACAGAGAAATGCACTGTGAAACGAGAAGAAACGTGATTTGTATGTTGCTGTGTCTTTGCGAGAGTCAAAAACAGCAGTGTTGAATATTCTTTTGCATTTGTGAATGTATTTTTTGGAGGGTTCAGGCTTTCATAAAACTCCAACAAAAATTGTGTAGTTAATTTAAAGTAAACTGTGCTGAGAAACCACTGTTTACAAGACCACTAAATCACATACCAAAGTGCGGAAATACATTTTTCTTGGAGGAAAATAAACGTATTATACCCCTAATTTGCTTCCTCTTACGTATACATCCTTGGTGGGGGGTTTGAATATTTAATCAACGCCAAAAATCAATTTTTATGTGAGAGAATACACGTCAAGTACGCGCGATCTCATTTTTTAACATGTCGCGGATGAAAATCAGTGAGAGAGCAGTCATAGCGGTTATAATTGAGTCTCCTTTGGATTTTTTCTCCTTAGAAAACTACTAAATAGTGATCTCATTCTCATGTATAAATCGTGTATGACTTAGTCTGAAACGAAGTTGTAATAAATTCTGTACATTATGTGTAGCCAATTAATTTCATTTTTATCTCTCTCAATTTTTGTGTACTACTTACCTACTGTTTTCCGTAAAATTTTCAAAGTGAATAACCAACTCTAATAAATTATTGGAAAGCAAAATATGTTGGCTACCTCTTGTTCGTTAACCTCAGCTCTTTTTTACGTGTCGTTCCATGATCTTGGCCATATACACCCCTTGGCCCCCCCTTTCTAAGCTCCCTGGTCTACTTCTTTAAAAAAAAGCTGGGTCCTATCTCCAAAATCTGATTAGAGTGAGCTCATCTAAGGAATATCACCTGTCTATAACCGCAAAAACCATGGCAATCGGCCCAGTAGAACGCTCAAACAAACTGTTACAAAAAATAAACATTTACATTGTTTAAATGGAATAGTTTGCAACTTTACCACGTAACATATAAGAACCTGGGTCATATTTTCAAAATCTGAATAGGGCGGGCTCATCTAGAAACAATTACCTGTCGTTAGCCGAAAAAGTCATGAAAATCAGCGGAAGAACGCTGGAACTGAGCGTTACCAGATATGCAAATTTAGGAGGTCCCGGAGCTTATAGTGCAGGAAGAGAAAGAAGTGATAAATAAATGAAAAAAAAAAAAAAAAAAAAAACCCAAATAGGCTTCTACGTAAACCTTATCAACAGCAAAGCGGCCAAATGCTGAGGTATCATGACTTTCTGCTGAAAAAAGGAGATTTAGAGAGGGATAGTTTCAACATAAATTCTCGGAGGAAATATAAAACAAAAGGGTTAAACATTTTGGGAGTAAAGTAGTAAATAGATAAGTAAATTAATAAACCAATAAACAAATAAAAGAATAGCAAATGTAATTCATGTGGCTTTAAAAAATCTTCAGGTCATCAGGCACCACAGTGTTTTTTGCAAATACATAAATAAGCGGATAAGTCAGATGAAACTCAAAACTATACGAAACAGCTGCTCAGCAGTTAAGGCAAGGCTTACAGCACGATAATACTCGTACTTTAGCTGATGCTCTGAAAACCCTCTTGATCTGGACTGCAAATCCAAACACAGTATAGAGTGGTCAAAAGATACGAATTTTTTTGGGGAGAAAAATGGATCCATTCATTGGAAGCTGATAACAACATCAGATTATTACTTCCACTCTAAGAAAAAGGAAAGAGGAAGAAACCTACTGTAATCACTGAGGTATTCAAAGGATAACATGTAAGCATCTTGCGTGGCGTGCTTTGGAATTAATCCATGTATCTACCATTTAAACCTATGGAAAAGGATCGATAAACAGGTTGTTCGCAATGAACACTTTTAATATCGATTCTTTACTATAGCTAGAAATGGGAAAATATCGATAGTCAATCATTCACGCCTCGCCACTGATGTGAGCCACGCTTAGGCTAACACGGGTGTGCTTATTTCTTTTACTTACTCTGGTCGAATCTGGAAAAAATTGGAACAATCGTAGACCCAGTGTTAGACGCAGCAGCTCATTTGCTGGTGACGCTCCGTAAAATTTTGGACCCGCGCGGAGAATACAGGTGAGTTCAGAAAAATCCACTTTTCTTCTATTGAAGCAAATTTAAAAATCCATAGCGCGTCAGAAAGCTGGGAGCTCAAGCATTTTGTCAAATTCCTAGGCAAACAGACAATTATTTTTTCTGAGCGTAAAATTCTGTATCTTGCTGCTATAATTTCTTTAATGCATGTATGTAGAAGGTACACATTTCCTGTGGCATTGGATTTTTGAAGGTGTTTTAGTACCATCTGGTGCACCGATGAAAACTTATCCCAAAATTTGCGGTATTTTCTAAATGCAGGTACACCGCGATATTTATAACTTTAGCGTTTGAGTTGATAGGGAAGATATTTTTTTGCAAAATTAAACAAAAATTCGAAGTTTGATCTATGTATACGCTCAGCACTGGAAAAAAACCACATTGGATCTAGAGTCCAGACTCTTGAAAACATTGACAAGAAAAAGGACTCTTGATTCAATCAGATTTAAGCTTAAATCAAAAGGAAATCCGCTCAAATTAAGAGTCTTGGTTCTTGATTTAAGCTTAAATCCGATTGAATCAAGAGTATTTTTTCTTGTCGATGTTTTTAAGAGTCTGGACTCTAGATTCAATGTGTTTTTTTTCCAGTGAGAGGTTTGTAAAAGCAAAAGCTAATGATAGCGAAAATTCGAAATTTATTAATCTACCAAGTTTAGCTACCATGCCTGATACGAGAGGGTGAGGTGATGTCCAAAAATATCATAACAGCCCCACAGCGATGGAAGAGGTGAATCGCTAAGAGTAGACTGCTAAATCTTTGAAACTCCCGCGTCGACGAGATTCTCACCCAGTAGTGTACTCTGCAGGCGTGGAACCGAAACCGGAGTACCATCAAGTTCGCGCTCGCTCCTCTAGAGAG